TATACGGCTGGACGTAAAGACGTATACGTACGTAGGCGGAACTACGTCACTAGCCAGGCCCACTTTTGGGCATGGCTAGGGGCGTTACGGGGAAGGCATAAAAGACAGCACACAGGAAGTCTCGGTCTCTTTTCCTGGAGTTCGGCTTCCGGTTCGGCCGCTGAAAACTGCTCCTCTGGGTTTGGTATCTTGTGAGTAATTTTCTACATTAAATACTTAGCTTTACTGTCAGTAATTGTGTGTCGCGTATCGTTACAGCGTCCGATAAAGCCAACAGTGTTCTGCCTGCATGTGAGAGTGTCAGATCTTGGAGTTACAGATAACTGTTGGCTGCCATGTGGGTGCTGGGAATTGAACCTGGAGCCTCTGGAAGAGCAGTCAGTGCTCTTAACTGCTGAGCCATCTCAAGGGTGGAGGATTCTTCTTTTTTTATTTTTTTTTATTAATTTACTTTTACATTCCAATCCCCTCTCCTCCTGTTACTCCCCTCCCCCCTTCAGCTGCCATCTGCTCCTCAGAGAGCGTGAGACCTGGGTGGAGGACTCTTCAAGCATCAAAGTTGAACAGTGGCTGAACAAGGATCCCCCGTTGGAGGACAGTGGGAATGTCATTGTGTTCCTTTATTGAGTGGCCTCTGGCAGACAGCCTTTAAATGTCAGGTGTGGAGTTCACAGGACTTAGAGCATATAAAAAGCAACAACTCTGGGGACACTCCAACCACCTAACGCATGCACAGTATGCAGAATAGTGTTGCAGTCTTTGTGAAGCGACTGGTCACCCTCTCTGCTCAGAACTTGTTGCAGGATCTGTTCTCGGCCTTTATCAGGGGTGATGAGTGTTGGCTGAGTAGTAATGAGGATACAGGTCAAAGTCTGGTGGCCTTCTCTTACCTTTAGATTCCCCCAATCTGAGCCTGTCCAGCATCATGGAGGGAATCTCCTCCAAAAGGGACGAGACACATATTGTATGAACACAACACATTCAAGGTCCTAACACACGTTCATGGCAAAGCAAGTTATACCTCGGCTTCAGAGACCTCTTAGGCTTTGGTTTCTGTTTTTCAGAGCCATCTGATGATGAGGCAAACAAGCAGGCAAAGAAAAACAAATAAGAATAGTCCTACCCACACCTACTCTGCACTCAGGGTCCTTTCTGAACCCAGGGCTGCTCTCAATTTTCCTCATCATTCATTTTTTTTTGTCAGTATTGCTGGACCCACCGAGCCATCACATACCCATGCAGCTCCCATGGGGGTTTTAAAGAATCTGCCATTAAGATTGCAAAAGCAGAATCAGTTGGCTTCCTTGTGTAGGTGACCAAAATATCAGGTGGTTTAAGCCAAGGGTTATTAGGGAATGTCATTCTAATAATAGGGGAGACAGGAAAACGGTCTCTATGGAGTGCACAGGGCTTAAAGGGGAAAACACCTTTGCATTACACAAAGACGAAGAGCACACGTATTTTATATCTCTTTGCCATGAAGAGAATCCGTTGGCTTACTGAGATCATACACACATACATATATGTACACACATGAAGCATTTTAAAGGCATCTTGATTTTTCGGTATACCACGTTTTTGTTTTCTCTATAGAATACTTATCCATAGTGTGAATAGAAAACAAAAATTGCTCACTAGTGCAAAATGCTTAATCATCACTTAGTCTTGGTTGGGCGGCTTCCGTCGACACTGATGAATATGCAATTCCAGATGGGTACAGACAGACCGTGTTTCTTGACTCTCATCCAAAACCCTAGACGATCCGTTGTCCAGGCTGAGAGAGGCTGAGCACTCCATGCCGGAGAACTGTTTCTCTCCCTGCACGGGGAGCCCAGCTTTCCTTAACAGAACAGCTGCTCCGAGCCTACAGCTTGTCTCAGTTCCCTTTGGAGCAAGATGCTGAGTGTTTGTGACTCAACCATGCGGTTTCTGGGCTGCTCCTCCAGGGTTGTAAAAACACAGCAAAATCGTACACATACCAATGATTCCCCACCATCATCTCCAACAAAATCCTTCAGGTACTGCTTGCCTTTTGCTGCGGATTACCTTGTGAGAAGGGAAGCTTTCTGTTGTTTGCTTTAAGAATTTACAATCCGATAAAACAGACAAAATTTCCACTCTCACGGCTCAGAGATTTTTAGCGATCACTCTGTAAACTTGGCTTTCTTTCTATTTCTACCTTCACTTAAGCAAAGAAATTCTAACCCCACAGATTCCCGGATGTAATCTCAAATAGCAATGTTTTCTAACTGTCATCCTTGGAGCATTCAACAAAATCTTTAGAGATTTTCCCCCAAATAATGAGTTTACCGAGGGAGCCAGGGTTTAACAACAGCCAGGTAAGGAAGAGCAGCGCCCCCTGGAGGAAAATGGGGGCATGCAGCTGCTGAGAAACTACCATCCACAGGTTGTAAGGCTTGACTGACTGACTCCCTTAACAAATCCGCAAGTATAAGAAGATGGAGGCAGAGGCAGAGGCAGGCGGATCTCTGTGAGTTCGAGGCCGGGCTGGACCGATAGCCTCCAAAACAATACAGAGAAACCCTGTCTCGTAGAAAAAAAAAAAAAGATGGAGTCTAAAATAATAAGCAGATTCGAGGTCCTCAGTCACTTTTATCTAAAGCTGTATGAGTGTCCATATTTGGACTGGTTCTGTATATGTCCAGTGAGAACCAGCGGGGACATTGGAATTGTGAAACACTATGTAATTAAAATTAATCACAGGAGGTTATGTAGGCTTTATGTGAAGAAAATAAAAGGCTTCCACTCTCTTGTCACATAGAGTAGTTGTTCCTGGGTCTGTGCAGCCCTCCTGGCCTTTCTGTAGGATGGCCCCTGGCCTAATTGCTCACAACCTTGGATTTTAAGTATGTAATACCTACCAAATAACTGAAAACCAGAAAACATGTTGCTGAAATGTTTAATTACACTCATATTTAAGTTTTCAAGATATGGCAATCACTTCTTTTATTTTCATTAATTTAAAAAACATGTGTATGGTTATTTTGCTTGCTGTGTTTATGTCTATGTAGTGCCTGCCCATGGGAGCCAAAGGAAGGCATCAGGCCCACTGGAAAGGGAGTTACAGATGGTTGTGAGCTGTGGTGTGCGTGTTGGGAATCAAACCTGAGTGGTCTTAGCTGCTGAATCATCTGCATCTGGATTAGCAGCAGTTACAGGGCTTGGATTGAGCGTTTGAAACTCTAGGGCCCACCCCAGTGACACACTCCCTCCAAGACCACATCTCCAACAAGGCCCTACTTCCTAATCCCTCTCAAGTAACTGTACTTTCTAATAACCAAGCATTAAACAAATGAGCCTTATTCAAACCACTACAGAACATTGCTGAAGTATTCACATTTAAGCAAATTATGGTCTGTTATTATCTGTGAGTATACACATCCATGTGGGATGTTGAGCCGTGCGAATTGACTCCTGTATTGGTACAAAGCAACTGAGCTTGGGTCAGGAACTGGAAATCTATTCATCATGTTCAAGCCAAGGAAGAATGCAGACGGGTACTCTCCTCGAGCTCCTAGATACCCAGCTTGCTTCCTGCAAGCATCTTGAAGCAATGCTTATAGGTGTCTCACCCAGGCACTAAGAACTGCATCTGACTTACTCATACAGACAAATATCAATCATTGCCAGGACAGTGCTGTTGGTGGTTTATGGACTATGGGGACTTTTAAAGGTGGACTGAATGCATTTCTGCATTATGATATGACTACAGAAACTGTGTTGGCTGTTCTTGGTTATCAACTTGACTACATCTGGAATTAAATAAAACCCAAGCAGCTGGGCACACCTGTGAGGGATATTTTTTTAATTAGGTGATTTGAAGTGAGAAGACGCGCTTTTAGTTCTGATCTTTGGAGGTGGGAAGATTCACCTTTAATGTGGGTCCCATCTTCTGCTGGCAGCCTCTAGAAAGGACGTGGAAAAAGGAAGCTTTTACTCTTTGCCTGCTTCGATGGCATTAGGGCTTGTTTCTTTGGGACTCTGGTATGTCCTGAAGATCAGCTGAGACATCCAGCCTCATGTACTGAACAACTACTGGACCTTGCATTGGAAAGACAACTACTGCTGGAGTAGCTAGAGCCCAGCTTGTAAGCTTTTCTAGTAAATTCTGTGTGTGTGTGTGTGTGTGTGTGTGTGTGTGTGTGTGTGTGTTCATTCTATCAGTTCTGTTCCTCTAGAGAACTCTAATACAGAGGCCAGGAAGAGAGATGAGAGTATTCCAGCAGAACACTTCTTGCTTAGCCCCAAAGGAAGCAGAGAAAATCAGGTAGAAGGGAAGGCAGGCTGCAAACACCTGATATTTATTGAGAAAAACAGGGTTTCCGCAGGCTATTTGGAGATAGGAGCGGCTTCTCTTCCTATATGCTCAAGGACACTGGGTGAGGCCGCCAACACCAGAGGACAGGACCAGGGTCTGGCGGTCTTTTAGATGTACCTTCCAGAGCTCGAAGCTGAACGGGAAGGATCAAGCCCCAGGACTGATAGGTGCACTCTGTAGAGCTGTGACCGTGACTGAATCACCCAATGGGTCTAGAGGTGGCTCTGCTGCTCCCACCCTACAATGGGTGGTTTCTGAGTCACAAGACCCAGGGTCAGCTCAGGCAGGCTGATGAGAAGGTTGAGGCCAGTCTTGGCAGTGTAATGTTCCCTCTGCAGCAGCGCAGGGAGCAGAGCAACCAAAGCCCGAGTTGTAATAAGTTCAGCAGTGGTTCAAGGGACAAGGGGCAGAGGATTGCCTGCCTGAATGAAGAGGAAGAGGAATGGGAGTTTGAAGACAAGAAGGGCCTTCTAAGACCTTGGGAGAATGGTATCAGGCTGAACCACTCTAGGGATGCTGGATGTCTGGGATGTGTGGATGTGACCTGTTCCAGACATACTGCTGGAGAAATACTTACGTATTTGGCAAAGTGTGTCAGGAAAATGACCAGAATGCCAGAGAGGAGGGAAAGAGAAAAACCAAACCAACCCAGTGAGCCACATGAGAGAAAACACCGCTTTAATCAAGACTACCTTGAAGACCTTAACCTCACACACAGTATTAACACTGTTGACTGTCAAATGCAGGAAAGAGGTCCCAGTCAGCAGTTTAGGTCTGAAGTGATTTCACAAAGGCTTTGCTAAAACTTCATTTAAAAATAACCCAGTGTCACATACTTGGCATCTCAGTCGACCAGGAAAAGCCAAGTCTCATTCCAGTCCACGGCTCCATCCCTGGTCTGAGCCCGAAGCCCTCAAGTTACCTGTGGCCCTGGAGGCTCCCTTCACTGGTCAGATTTGGCACATATTTTAAATTTTATTTGACTTTCACATTTACATGTTCAGGAAGGTTTTTTTAGAAGAGGGCTGTGGCCCTTAGGGAAAACTATCACAATGTCTCCCAACCCTGGGCGGATGTGTGTGTGCCAGGGACTCCCTCAGGCAGACAATCCTGTCATCTTTAGCAGTGCTTGCTACTGGTTTGCAGCTGACATGCTGCTGTGGCTTTCTTCTTGCTGGGGCTGGCATCAAAGCCTGGATGGCATGTTGCCAGAACTGGCCTCACCCAAGACTTTATTGCTGACGACTCTGATTATCCAACTTTTGGTCTTTCAGTCCAGAATGGCGGCACTGTTAGAACCAGGGCTGGAGGATCCTGTCTGTCGACACGAACCGACATGGCAGTGTGTGAGCAGTACTGGGTTCTGCGATGCTGGCACGGCATTGCCTGCTTGTCGTCAGCCGGTGCTAGTGTCTATCCACTGGAAATGCTCTGTCTTTCTCCCCTCTCGGGACAGCAAGGTTCTCTGAGGAGACGGGTGAAAAAGCCCCTGCTGTTCACTACAAGGGCAGTCTGAGACAAAGGCAGGAACCAAGACAAAGGTACCCAATTCCACAGCGATCTGAGTTTCCAGAAATGTCCAGTTCTTTCTCCCCTGTGACAAGTTAAAGTCCCCAAAGAGGTCCCTACATATACCCTCACTTTCCAGAAGGGCATCTCTTCTGCAGAATGAAGCAGGTGCTTGTAGGGCCAGGTGTCTTAAAATCTGGGCTAGCCCGGATGTTGAAAGGACAGCTTGCTCAAACAATTCTGTGAGTACCAACAGTAAATGTCACAGAGCCCCAAGCTCCAGGAGCACACACGATCTGCATCTGTGGTTATAGGCGTGCCAAGATGGAAGAAAGAGGTATCAATGACTTAGATTTGAGTCTGCACGGGCCCCAGTAACTTTTGCAGCCATTCAGCATCTCCATGTCTCTTCAAAGTGCTGGGTCTGTACAATCTACAGGTCACGGGTGACACCACCTGGCCACTGGTTAGCTGCTAATACCAATGCCATGTGACATGGAAGGGAACAGCTCCTAACACTGTCTCCTCTGGGTCTGCCCACCAGTCTGCAAACAGTCCTTCCTAACCTCCCATGGGAGTGATAGCTAGTGACCAACTAATGACACAGGTTGGGGGAGGGGTTCAGAGCATCTGATATCCAAGCTAAGGTAATCAGAGCCCAACATCATCTGTTCACAAAACCACGGGGAACGATGGAGGAAGTCTCATTTCTGTGCTCAGACCTCCATCTAGTCAGCCCCCGATCTAGCAAGAACTCAAGGGTCCTCTGCATTAATTTAGCAAAAACTCTGGCTTCTGATACCCAAAGAGCTTAAAGTCCCCTTCAAAACGTGCATATAGGCGCCGGATGTCTCGTTTGCTGATGCCCAGGAAGTAGTGTTCCACTTTAGTTCTATTGTACAGGGTGATGCCTGGAGGGATGGTGGGGTAAGACACCAGGTGGTCTATGCCAGCCTCTTTCAGGATGTACGGGGCATCCTCCTCCAGGGTCTCATGGTGTCCGATCACACTGTACCTTATCTCACAGGGCGCACAGAGTTCGACGTAGGTCACCCAATGGATAATATGATCCCCAAACTGAAGGTCTAACCATCTGCGGTTTGGATCACCCAGGTAGCGCACAAAATCCTCAAACTGGATGCCCCGGGTCTCTGTCCGGTTCTTCCTGTACTTCCTAATGATGCCAGGGGCGATCTCATGCCGGTACCAAGGCTCAAAGCGCGGATTGTGAACAAACTTATCCTTAAAGGCGGAAATCAGTCTTTCGAAAGGATCTCTTACGATAAAAAACTTGAAGTATGTTTTCAGTCTGAGGAAAGAAAATGAAGTAAGAGATGAAACTGAAGCTCTGGGTGGGTAGAGAGCGGGGGAGAAGGAGCAACACCTGGCTGGGCCCTGAGTGCTGCACAGTGTGCACTGAGTGCTGCTATCAACCCATTCTACAGGTGAGGAAACAGAGACTTAGACAACCCAAACTGGGGCTGGAGAGGTGGCTCAGCGGTTAGGAGCACACGGTGGCTCACAACCATCTAGAATGGGGTCTGATGCCCTATGTTGGCATGCAGGCGAATATGCAGATGGAGTATCATATACACAAAATAAATAGATCTAAAAAAAGTGTGAGCACATAAGAAGGAAGGAAGGGAGGGAGGGAGAAAGAAGGAAGGAAGGGGGAAAGGAGGGAGAGAGGGAGGAAGGAAGGAAGGTCTGAATTGCTCTTTTTTTTTTCTTTTTGGTTTTTTGAGACAGGGTTTCTCTGTATTGTTTTGGAGGCTGTCCTGGAACTCGCTTTGTAGACCAGGCTGGCCTCGAACTCACAGAGATCCACCTGCCTCTGCCTCCCAAGTGCTGGGATTAAAGGCGTGCACCACTAACGCCCGGCTTGTGCCACCAACACCTGGCTCTTAACCCGCTCAGAGCTCTAGCGTTTGTCCTCTGAGACTGATGTGAAACTGTTTAATCAAGGGTTTGTCTCATTTGGCTAATTCAAAACTTCAAAAACTTTTACAAGTTTTGTTCAAGGGCAGGAAATCGCCAGGGCTAGAACTGTGAGTCAGTGTTAACCAAGGCCAGAAACTTATTTTATGGGCACAGCTTTAAAAATTGGACCCCAAGCTGCCAGGGGGCATCAAAGTAAGAGTAAAGGGTAGGAAGGAGGAACAGGAAGCTAGCTGTACACTTTCAACAGGGAAGGCACCCTGGGCAAGCTGCCCAGGGTGGCTGCGGCAGAGCAGGGACACCGGCTTGAAGGGATTGTGATGGTGGTGATGGTGACAAGAATGGCAAAGATGACCCTTTAACTGCGACAACACTAACCTCACAGTGAGCTTATCCTAAAGCCAGGAACTGTTGTCCCTGATCTGCCTACGTAATTCACGGAACCTCACAAAGGCCTCGGGAAGCAGAGGTTAGGACTCAGTGCGACAGTCCGTACCCAGGACGACGTCTGACAAAAGTTTCAGAGTTGCACGACTGGGTTACCCAAGGGCAGAAGCAACGAAAGAAACAAAACACGGGGCTGCAAAACCAAGGAGGGTCAAGCCCAGGTTCCACCTGACGCGGAAGGGCAGCAGCTCTTGTATGCTGACCCCTTCAGTGTGGCTCTATGACGCCATCTCATGGCTAAAATGGGAGAACTTTCTCACTCATTAGCTGCTGACTCTACCACTGTCACCATCAAGGGAGATTGTCTCCTGCACCCCCTGCGATGGGACCTGCTCGCCCCGCCCCGACTGCTCCAGAGGGAAGTACGTGCCAAAGTGGGCATGGTGTCTTGGGAAAGTACAGCGCTTGCTTTACAATGAAGAAATGATCCTATTTGGTACGGAATCCATAAAACTTAACAAAATCCAAACACAGAGTGCGGTCCACTTCTGGCAATAAGCTGATGCACACTTCAATGGCCTTTGTGACCAGGGGCCAGCTGGGAGCCAAGCCGACCTCACTGCAAGTGCAAACAGAGTCCGGGGCTCCGCTGCAGGAGCTGCCCTTCCTCTTCCCCTCAGAAAAAACTGTCCTTACCTCTTCTGAATTCCCGTTTTGCTGAAGGAGGAGAGACGCGGAAGGCCATTTTTCTCGTGGTCATGGACCACATTTTCAGGGATCTCCTCAATGGAAGAAAACGCTCCTGGGGGAGACAAGAGGAGAAGGTGCGTGAATTCTTAGAGGTGCCCGTCCATGTTGTCTCAGGCCCCACAACCTCCCAGGGCACCTGAGAAGCCTACCCTCTGTGCACCTTTGGATTCCAGCTGCTCCTGCTGAGGGATTAACAGAAGGAAAAGCAGCTTTTTGTCTGTTTGTTTGTTTTTTAATCTACCAGCTAACTGGAAGAAAGAAGGGATAGGGAAGGAGACAGAATGAACACCCTGGTACTGTACCTGAGGTTACATCTTCCCTGAAAAATGACAGCTTGGCCAGGCATTGGTGGCACACGCCTTTAATCCCAGCACTTGGGAGGCAGAGGCAGGTGAATCTCTGTAAGTTCGAGGCCAGCCTGGTCCACAAACTGAGTGCCAGGAAAGGCTCCAAAGCAATACAGAGAAACCCTGTTTTGAAAAACCAAGACAAACAAAACAAACAAACAAACAAAAAACACCAAAAACCAACCAAACAAACAAAAAAAAACAAAACAAAAATAAACCCGACAGCTTGTCCTCTGAGAGGGCAGGAGATGCTGCCAGGTACAGCAGACCGCGCTCTTGCTGCACAGCAAACACTATTTGACCAATGGCGTTTCTCAGAGAATGCCATGGCAGCCCACATGGCAAATGGCAAGGACACCTGATGATGAAAAAACCTGGGGATGAAATTCGGGGATCAGAGTCAAGGGGGACAGACCCGGAGAGGCAGTGGGACCTGGTTTGCAGGGGACCCGGTGCCTGGACAGACTTTTCTTTTTGCAATGTAGACAAATAGAAACAATGGTGATGGGACCCTGTGGGCTTAGCCAGCTTCTGTGAACTGTCGTCCCCACAAGGAGGAAACTCCCCTGGGTCACCTGTGCAAGAGGCACCGCCTTGCCTTATCCATTCATCTCTCCTCCGACTACTTGCGCCCTAGTCCAGAGCGCTGAAATGTGCCTTGGTTGGCACATTTGACTAAGTTGAGGAAACTCCATCTCCCGAATTCTGGCAGTTAGACAAGAGTCAGCCTTCTGCAGGAACTCCTGTAGCACTTCCCCCATACCACCAAAGGGAGCCATTTCCCTTATCACTGGCAGCAGGGACAAATGGCTGTCTGTGGTGTCCATTAGCATACCAAAGCCCATGCTGGGCTCCAGGCTCCTTAGTGTCACAAGTGCTTGTTACACAGCCCTTTTCCTCTCCACTCCTTTCTAAACTTCCCCAGCTCATGGGCTCCCCCTCCCCCACAGCTACTCACTCTCCTTATCACTTAGCTATTTTGGCTGCGCATTTCCGGGCATGCTCTCTCTGTCTCTCTCTGACTCTCTGTCTCTCTGTCTCTGTCTGTCTCTCTCCCTCCCCCCCCCTCTTTGCGCCCCCACCCCCAACCCCTCTGCCTTGCCCCGGCCTCTCTCATGGCCAGGTCCAGTCTGTTGGTCATGTTCAATCTACTACTCTCTGCCCTGGACTCTTCCAGAGGCCTCTGGCTGTTCTCTCTCTCACATCTACAATAAAACCTCTTTTGCTTTTGTTTCTTTCTTCTTTTTCTTTTTTTAGGAATTATGATTAAAAAATATCCATCGTTTTAGAAATAAACAAGCTGACTTGTTGGACAATAAAAGCCTTCCTAAAATAAGTTTAATTTTTTGTTCTCAGTAAACATTTTATGGGTGTCGATGTCATGGGGGTTCCTTGTTTCCAGTTTAAGTCATTTGCAACTGATACATAAAAACACAGTCCGCGATTCTGACTAACACAGCAAGTTTGTTGTGAGCTTGTGACTCCTAGAAATGTCAGAGAAGAGGGTTCTGACACACACATTCACGTAGATTGCTTTTACTTCATCCCCCCTTTGTGAGTTAGGGTGCTCCCCACTGCTAAGGCCCGTTTGTGAGCCCTTTCTTTTGTATGCTTTGTTTCCATTTAGATTTGTAGCCTTGATCTCCCATTCAAAAATCCAGCTCACTGGCATCACATTACTTCAGGAGTCTGTAACTGTATCCAGAAGATGAGGCCTTGCCCTTCTTTCCCTCCAACTGGCCTGGACAAAGGGCAAACGGCATGCCAGGAGCGGGCTTGGGATCTGTGGGCAAGATGCTGAACCACAAGAATCAGTCCCAAGGCACCCAGTGTAAGGACAGACATTATGCTGGCCTGCCCCTGTCACTGGGCAGAATGCACTCAGGCAGTACTCTGGTCAGCCCAGGGTTCCATGAGTACAGTCTGCACGCAGGTGCAAGTGCAAAGGACCCCTTTAAAAGACAGACCCCGCCCACTTACGCTCTCTTGCCCTCTTGCTCTCTTCTCTCTCTCCTTTTTGTGTGTCTCTCTCTCCTCACCCCTCTCCCCGCCTTAATAAACTCCATGGTTAATGAATCTCCCTGTCCATGTGCCATCGCGGGCGCCTAACTTAAGCAAAAGAACAACACCCAGGGTATGATTTCTAGCCAGCAGTCCCGATGCTATTTGTTGGCACTCAGCCAGTTAGAGCTGAATTTTAACAGACAGAGGCTATAATTATTTTAGGTCACTTTAGACTAATTAGTATTTAAATAAACCCGGGTCTAAAAAGAGTAGTGAATAACCAAAACCACAGTGGATGCACTCATTTTTTCTATGATTTAATTTGTTCCCCAGTAAACATTGGATTTTTTGAAGCAAGCTAACTTAATGCTTTATGTCTACAGAAGAAAACAAGGCGCAGTTTCCGGCTACCCAGGCAGCACAGAAGACTTGGTCTACAAGCGAAGCTGCCTGAGGCTCTGGAGGCTGGAGCCTCCTCCCAGGCTCTGGCTGTAGCCCATGTCTACAGAATATCTCAGGGAGTATGGTGGCCTGGAAGCACTCAACACACAAGCCACGAATAAGAAGAAGGCCTGACGGGGGTGGAGAATCTGAGTGAAGAAGATAAGTTACATCTGTGAAAACCCAGGAAACCCTGCCCTCAGCTCTGTGACCAGAGTATCTCAGAGCCACCAGCCAGTGGCTGGCTGGGATTGTAGCTCAGCTGTAGGATGTTTGCATAGCACACACACACAGACAGTCCTGGAGTTCGTGCCCAGCACTGTAAAAAACAAAGAAGTTAACCCCACCAGCTCTTGAAGAGAACCTTCAGGAAGACTGTGGGTCTTTTCTGAAGAAACCATCCCCTCCTTTGATGCCACCTTCAGGCATCCCAGGGGGACATTCTCCAGATGCCACACGTACCGTTTAGGACGATCAGCACTTTCTTCCACTGGGTGTTGCCCACTTTGGGAGTCTGACAGAAAAGAATCTTGTGCTTGTCACAGACAAATATTCGATCGAGGACAAACTTAGAGACCTCAGTGTGTGAGAGGTTCCTCAGGGCCTCTTCCTGGCAGGCATTTCTGATGAGCTCCAGCCGTTGCAGATAAACCGGGGGCTGGTCAGGATGGCTGTCAGAGAGCATCTTCCCAGTTGGCTGTCGGAGAGAGGGATAGCAGAGGCTGAGGGATCATGGGTATGAAGCAGGAGAGAACCTCTCAAGTCCCCTTCTCCTGCTTTCTTTCCATTTCTAGAGTGACAACTACCATTTCCTGCCACTTCACAGGGCTCTTCTCAGCCCCCTCGTGAGTTCTAAAGATGGCTGCGAACAGGTGGCCCGGAAAACAGATGTCCACTTGGTTCCTGTGACTTTCCTAAAAGGCTGACTTGATAAATGGAAAAGATGAGAAAGCTGGAGTTCCAAGAGAAGAGGCGGGATAGAGGGCTTTCACAGACTGGAAGAACATCTCTAGAATGCACAGTCTGGGACTCAAGCTCACCCCCATCTACCATGGCTCTGAAGGTTAGCAGGACCACTCACTCCACAGCTACCAAGTCTTGGCTGGGTGTGTGACTGGGGCTACCCAGGAGAGCCTTAGCTGAGTGTGTGTGCATGTGTGCACATGAGCACAGTTGGTGTATGTGTGGGGGAGGAGGGGTGATGAACAGGAAGAGCAGAGGGGCATGGACAGGGCAGAGTGAGCGGTGACATGTGGATTGGCTGACAGCAACCCTTCCCATCATGACTTGAGCGTGTGCATGAGTGTGTATGTAGTGTTTGGGGATCTGCCCCAGAAGGTGTATGCTCTCTAAGGGGCATCTTGAAACTGCAAGGGACCACTACAGGGCAAGCTCTCTTTTCCCCAGATGCAGTATCTTCTCAGTGGGGCCCTTGTCTTGAACTGCTTTGCAAACAGGTTGCCTGCCCTCTATTCACGTATTGAAATATTTTCTATCAACGATGCCCCTTGGGCTATCTCAGAAGAGCTTTATAGACCTGGCCTTTGCTACATGAATGTCTTTGTTGACCAGAAGCCACCATGGCCACCTGCTCTGACCGGAGTGTCTCTGTTCTTGCTGGGTTTAAATTTGCCACGTTCACACTGTGAACCAGGAGACAGCACCTGTTCTTTTCCCTAGGCTAGTTCCAGGCTGATAAACACCTTTAGTGGTGGAAACTTCACCCCTTCAGTCAGAATTGTGACCTTCCAGACCCAGCATGAGGATTGGCAAAGGGAGCGACCTTCCTGAGTATATCCCTCTCCCTGGACAGGGAGCAAAGAGAGTTATGTGTGAAGGTAGCCCTGCATCAAGGACTCCATAGAAGCTGACTGCCTGGATTGAGCCTCTTATCTGTCGTGCCATCTGGGGGCCTCTCCTTTACCCTGGGTTCAGGAGCTCATCCATACAGTTAGGAGACTGGTCCCATCTTCCCTCTCACCCCAAAATTCCACTCCGGGTCAGAAATCTTTTCACATCCTCAGCTTCTTCCTGATCCTATTCAACATACTCCATTCCCCCAGTGAAGTCAATACTGCATCCATCAGGAAGGGGTTCGGCACAACCAACACTCACAGAGGACCCGTGATGAGGGATGCAGCTAAAACGATGGGTGGAAACACAGAAAGCCAAGGAACTCCAGCTTGAATAACCCTTGTTATTCCTTATTCAAAATGCTTAGGGACAGAAGAGCATTGGATTTGGAAAGTTTTTTTTGGGGGTTTTGTAGTATTTCCATCCACAAAAAGATATCACAGGGACTCCAGTCCAAGCCTAAAATTCATGTATGTTTTATATGCACCTGGAGGTAATTTTATACAATTAGGGGGAATTGAATCCAGAGCATTCTATGTGTTAGGGAGGAACACACCATTAAGCAATAGCCCTAGCAATAATAGAATAGTTTAGGGATTCTCACCCTGCACTATAAGTCAGGCTGCAATGGCATAGGTGGGAACCTGTGAGGGCCACTGGAGAAAGCTGCTCCCACGTGACAGGGTGGGCCACTGTGCAAGTGTACCTTAAGGAAAGCGGTGTCCCTAGGGCTCATGCTCACCTTTGTGTCCTCAGGAAGATGCTTCTCTCCTCTTAGCTTCCCTGCTTCTGGCATGGTCGTCAGGGACACAAACTCCTGTTTGGCACTATACCCTGGAAGACAAGTGATTCAGATAGCTTCTTACAGAGCACTGGACACAGACATTGGTGGGATGGAATGCCACTCCAGGAAAGGCTGCACCCACCCAGCCATGCCCAACAGGCTTTCAGCAAAGGCAACCACCCGGAGGGAAGTCAGTCTGTCTAAGAAAGGGAGATGGAGCAAGTCAACCTCAACCGACAGAGTGAGCCATTACCTGATCCTCACACTGTAAAAACCCAAAGCCACGCAACTCAAAAGAAGAACGAACAGGACAGAAATCCTTAGAACACCGACCCTCATCAATGTTCAAGATCTATGCTTTATAAAAGCCCATTTGAAGAGGAGGAAAACAGAAGCTGTGGGCTGGGAGAACCCATTTCCAAGACTCACACTCCACAGAGAGCAAGCATCTAGAAGGCATAAGGAAATCAACAGATGCAGCACTTAAGAAACTTTAAACAAGACTTCCTGCAAAGGATCAAGATATGCAGAGATACCTCACTGAAGACCTCACCATCACAGGTCAGGAGGCAAATGCAAGTCAAAAATCACAGGGAGACAGTACCACAGACCCATCAGACTATGTAAGAAAGAACAACGACTACACCAAACACTGCAATGTGGAGAAACCTGGTCACGGATACAATGCTGCAGAAATGAAATATAGAACAGCTACTCTGGAAAAGGGCCTGGTAATTTTCTTGGGGGAAAAAAAGCAACGTGGTAACAAGACCCGGCAATCGTGTTTCCTATCATTTATTACAGAGAAGTAAACATTTATGTTCAAACAAAAAACCACATATGCAGATGTTCACAGCAGTGTCATCTGTAATAGCCTCAAACTGGAAAGGGTCCACATGCCCTTCGGCAGGTGGGTGGCTAACAGACAGGGCTACACCTGTACAGCAGAATACAACCAAGCAATAAAGAAAATGCAAGAATCACAGACAGCAACTATGAACATGCTGGACGAACGGTCTAGGGAATTGTGTGAGCGAGAAAAGTCAAAAGGTCCCAGGATACAAGGCATTTTTGCAACGACACAGCTGTACAGAGGTTCAGGAGCTGAGGCTAAGGAAGGGGGACATGGATGTGACTGGAAAGGACAACACAGCCAGGCATAGTGGAACACACCTGTACAATCCCTGTGCTTTAGAGGCTGGGGGAGGAGGAATGGAAGTTTGTAGACAACCTGGGATAGATCATGAACTTTGGATTTAGGTTTCAAAAACCAAAAAATCCAAACCAAAACCAAAAGACAATAATCACCGAGGGTGACATGATGGGCCTTCACGGTGACAGAGGCGTTCTGCACCTGGGCTATATCTGTGTCAGTATCCCGACTGCCGTGCATCTCTGCAAACAGTTACCTTGTGAGGACAGGTGACAAATGGAACACAAGGTGTCCCTCTCCTATGCCATTCTTTTTCTTAAAAAAAAGAAAATTGTAAGTATGGTTACTCTGCCTGAATGTATGTCTGTGTGCCATGTGTGTTCCTGATGCCTGGGGAGGCCAGGAGAGGGCACTGTAGCCCCTGGAACTGGAGTTACGGATGGTTGTGAGCTGCCATGTGAGTGCTGGGAATCAAACCTGGGTCCTCTGCAAGAGCAGCCAGTGTTCTTAGCCACCGAGTCAGCTCTCCAGGCCCTCAGTGGTATTTCTTACAAGTGCATGTCACTCTTCAGAGATCACCAGAAACCCCACTCCAGAAAAAAAATTAATTTACAATAAAAAGCAAAACTCGGGGGCTGGAGAGATGGCTCAGTGGTCAAGAGCACTGGCTGTGCTTCCAGAAGACCCAGGCTTGGTTCCCAGTACCCACAGGGTGGCTTATGACTGTGATTGCAGTTCCTGGGGATCTGACACCTTCTTGTGACCTCCTATATGCATGTAGTACACAGATAGCACTCAAAGACACATGTATACAAATAAAATATACCACAAAAGCAAAACTCCAGCAGTCAGGCTAGAGTTTCCATGTTCATGTTGGAGTTCACTTGACTGTATGTCAGGCTAGAGGATGGTTTATAAACCACTCGGGAGCGAAACAACGGATTTTGTAGAAACCTTTCAAGTAGAGTCTGGACATAATCTATCACTTCATGAAAACAAACTTTCAGTGTCTCACTAAATGACACAAAACATATAGAACTATTACTTCCTATAATAAGAATGTCCTCCGACTTGGTTCAGTGATGCCAATATGTTATATGTTGCCTGCTTTACGATAGCCCCAGGCCACCTCAGCCTACTTTTTAAAATTTTATTTTATTGCTTTACCTTTATTTGATTTTACTTTGTATGTGTGGATGTTTTGCCTATGCACGTATCTGTACCACATATGTGCCTGGTACCTACAGAGGCCAGAAGAACTGGAGTTACAGACAGGTGTGAGCTGCCATGTGGGTGTTGGGAATTGAACCTGGGTCCTCTGGAAGAGCAGTCAGCGCTCTTAACTTCAGCGCCTCCCTGACCTCACCCAGTCAGGCTGTCCAACAGCTGCCTCCCTGCAGCACACAGTGTCTGTCTACTCTGCTTGGGTTCTCTTCTGCTCCATGAGAAAGAAGGCCCCCTACTGTGCCCTAACACCACTCTGCTCCCATGCCTCGGTTACTGAGCTCTCCTCCGGTCGGTCCCTGCTTCATGACCCCACGGCCACCTTCCTCTGGCTACATTTGAGTAAAAGTGCAAACCTGGCTGGAGCTACATGCACAAGCCGTTCTGAGACTACCATGCGATAAAGAGCATGCTGTTCGGCAGATGAAGTCAGGAAGCCACCCTCCCCCCCAACCCCCCAGTGCTCCTAGCTGCACCGCAGGGGCCTTGACAGCTACACTGACTGGTCCAAGTGACACTGACTCAAGCTGTCACCTTTGGGTGTTGACATGCTAAATGGATTTGTGAAACCTGTGTTTCCTTACCTTCTGGGTAGAAGGAAATGTGTGATGAATGCTGAATAGTCAATTTGCCACTGGCTTCTGGGAAGCAACCTATTTCCCATGCTCAGAGCACACAGAAGGCAGTGGTCACCGAGGAACCTTTCACCCTGCAGCATCAGCTAACCTATCAATCACTACCTCGGTGCGACCATTTTTACGATTTTAGGCTTCCGGGTTCTTTCTCCAGCTTACCCAACCCTACCTGACTACAGGCAGAGGAGGAAGCAGACCGGCCTACTTTTTGCTTTCCGTCCTTCTGCTGGAGGGGAATTCTCTTCAGCAGCTGCTAGCGTCACGACTATGACCGGAGGTTAGTCCCTCTCTCCACTCTGCCCCTCAGAAGCAAGTCTCCAGCTTCAGGGTGAAGGGCCATAATCCTCAAGGCATGGTTGGGCATCTTCATGTCTAAGACTATCTTGCTAACAGTTATGGGTTTGTAGAAAATTCTACAATGGTGAATGGAGTACCACTTTGCTTTGCCTTTCTAAAAGTGGTCACAATTGTCCCCTAGCTGCCTTCTGTGCTATGCAATGATGCTGCCTCCTGCCTCACAGCCCAGTCCCAAACCCATGCTACTGGCAGCAGGCAGTGATAATCCAAAGTCATGGAGTCTGCCTGTCAGTCACTTAGAAGCAACCTGAGGGGCTGCAAAGGCTGACTGAAAGAGCAAGCCCGACAGACAAAAGAAAACCATGTGTACAAATATCGCAGACCAATGGAAGGGTTGTTTATTATCTCAAATCTTGACAAATCATGCCACTACACACCTATCACTGGGTTGGATTTATTTTCCTTGATACGATCTGGTTACTAACACCTGATTCTTGTTCAGCAGAAGAGAAACTTACTAAAGATAGATCATTGCACAAATGTCAATGTGGCTTTACTGATGAGCTGGCATAAACTACAGTAGCATCAAAAGCGGCAATCAGGGACACACAGTAGGTCAGCACACACAGGACAGATGAGCTCTTGGCTCGGCTCAGGTGGCCAGGGAAATCATGACAACAGGTAGGTATGAAGAAAACACATACACAATGTGACCGGGATTCCACACCAGGGATCCAGCTCCAAGAGAAGAGAGCCAGCAGGAAGAATAACCCAAGGGCAGCTAGCTATGTTATTGTGTTTCTTGAACACCAAGACCAAGAACCATCCAATAACGATTTCGCTCTGGGGACCAATGGGTTGCAAGCCACCTCCTTGCAATGATACTCATGTGGAGCCAACTTGGTTCAAAAGCCAACATGGTTTGAATGCATAAAATATAAATGTCAGAATTAGAGTACAGCCCATCTCGAGGAGTTCACAGGTACCTCTGATGTTTCCAAGTCTACCAGTGGCTGGGGGGGGGTGTCCTCTAACAGGGGGTTGAAGAGAAGAGATGACTGCAACACCCCTAACCCAGGGTCCTCTTTGATGCCTTGGGTCAGTACTGTGTACTTAACTCCCAAATTCTTCATCCAGTCCTAATCACTTAGACTGGCAAGATACTGAATGCGCAAGTTCACTCAGAAATAAGAATGAAGAATGAAGTTGATGGACAATGATCTGACCAGATACTCTGAAGACAAGGACATGCACTCTGAGTCATGACAGGTTGGACTGAGTCATGACAGGAAACTCATATTTTAAGCTCTGTGATAGTAAGGGATCCTTGTGACATCTTAGTGTACAACATGTTTTGGGGTGACAGTATTCACCCTGAATTTCATGTTGGGGGAAACAGAGGCTAAACGTGCCAGGGCTGGCTCTGAAGGCATTCAAGAGTAGGCTATATGGCCCCTCCAAATGTCAGTGTAGAGGAACTGCCTATCATTAGTTTTAAGACAGAGCTGTTTGGTGAGCTGTGTTAAAGAGTTTTTGTCCCAATTAAAATCTTGAAGGTGAGGCCAGCAAGGAGGTGTCTTAGGGCTTCTATTGCTGTGAAGAGACACCATGACTATGGCAACTCTTACAAAGGAAAACATTTAGTTGGGGCTGGCTTACAGTGTTGTGGAATATTAATTTAAGATGCGTTACATTTGTTTATGCTGTGGAACATTTGTTTAATGATGCAAAGATGTGTTGCATTCTTTTATTCTGCACTTGTTCAACTCTGGGAAGCTGTGTTACTTTGCCTGTCTCAAACACCTGATAGGTCTCATAGAGACAAAGCCACACCTCCCCAATGCCACTCCTCTTGGGAGCCATTTTCTTTCAACCACCACAGGTGGCTTGGAGGGTAAATGTGCCTGCTGCCAAGCTCGATGACCCTAGCTCAATCCCTGAGTTTTATATGGTGGAAGAAGAGAACTCTGACCTCTGTTCTCTGGCCTCTACTAAGTAAGCATAATCAGTTTTCTTTTTGGCTTTTTACCTTTAAGTTTTTGCAGTTCCAGAGTCTATGCCCTTTTGAGAGCAGTGAGCCTAAAACCTGCTGCCTCTCCATATAGTGACATTGCCTTTACCGGAGCCCACTAGGAAGGTGTTCTTTAAAAGACCCTGTCAGAGAACATAAAAATGCAAGAGCATATTCAATTCTTATTTTGTTCTGTTTTCTGAGATGGGGTCTCACGGGTGCTCTATGTTGTCTCTAACTCACATACTCAGTTGGTCCCCAGCATGAGAGCTTCCAGAGTGGCCAGAATGGAAGGTGTGTGTCACCAGGCTTAAATTACTTATCTGTGGCTGACAGAAGTCTCACTGAGAAGTAGTACACACTGTCCTAGTTTTTAAAACAAACTAAGCTACAAACAACTTAATTTCGTGACTTCCCCTGCCGTGCCTTCCTTACTAAGAGATATATCTAGGGGTAGAAGTCACATGTTCTCAAGCTAGTTCCCATCTCAGAAATCTGACTTTTATCTGTGTCATCAGCACATCAGCGGAAGGTCACAGAGCCTGGCAGCTGTCTATGAAGTGCCTCCAAGATGAGAATCGTTCTGTCTTCACAGCATTGGCTGTGCTGTCCCTGCTAAAAATCTCCAAACGGTGACACAGATCACTGCTCACTCTCCCACCTTGCTCTAAGGTTTGAAGCTCACTCTTCTGGTGGAGACCCTGGTTCCAAGCACCACACGATGGCTCTGGATGTCCAATACAGCAAGTGTGACACCCCTTCCCCAGGCTGTGCAAACCTCATCAGCTTTCTCCCAGGGACTTCGGTAAGACAATGATGACTTGTGATGACAGCCAGGTGGTGCCAGATGTTACGTGCCTGTAATTATCCCTGCATGCAAACCATCGTGAGGGGAACCACCACATGGGCTAACTTAGGGGCTTCCTTCTTCTCTCATATCCCCCTATCTGCTTCCTATTACTCTCTCAGTAGGTAAAGTGGGACAGAGAAGATGGAGAGGTGTGGGACATCAGATGTCCTTTGAACAGCTAGGCACATACCCAGAGTTCTTGGTAGTATAGAAGGAGCCGATAGCCAGCTGGTGAAACTTCTGTGTCACAGGTCAGTACAGCCACTAGACATAAGTGGTAAACTCTGCTGGCAGAGACGCACCTCTAATGAGCTGTGTTCCACAGAAGGTGGCACAAAGCTCTGTGCTCGCTTCCCAGTAACTGCTTCTCTGGCCAATCTACAGCACTAATGAGCTGTCCCCACACGAACCATGCCCCTCCTCTCTCCAGCTCCTCCACTTGGCCCCAGAGGAGACGTCACACACCTCCTGGCACATGGCGGGCCTTCACTAACCAGACCGTCAGCTGGTAATGTCAGAGCAGGAGTGTATCCATTCTGTGAGCGAACGTTGATGCGTAGGTTAACAGATGACAAGAACATGAAGCAGAATCAGCTTGCCCGGGACCAGCACTTCATCACCATTCCTCTGACTAGTAAAGGGTGATGAAATCCTACAACACAGCCTCACAATACACATTTAAACAACCCTCCTTCCCCTATGCCAAGGACAACCATTAATCATAGGTCGCCAGTGTGAAACAGCTGGCACTCTGGCTGAGCAGCCACAGCTGGGCTCGGATGTGAGTCAGAGCTGTGACATTCCTTGCTGCCAGGTGTTCAGAGGCCTTGCAGGAAGGAAGCATCTCTATCCCAAAGGGGACACAGTGGCTTCAACCACAAAGAAAGCACCTCTTCAGGAGGGACTCAGCACAGCCCCCTCCCCGTCCCTCTCTGGTTTCTGTTATGTGAAGGCTTTGGAAGTCCACTGGTATCCTTTGGCTGGTGCCTGGGCACAGTGTTGCAGGGGTCTCCACTAGTCATAAATCCATTCGGCCAGGAAGCATACCTACCATCCGGGTCTTTAAAAGTCAATGTGATGAACTTGCTGGCCACCATGAACATGAAAATCACCCAGAAGCACGCAGCCAGCAGAAGCCACTGGTGGTGCATGTTGTCACACAGGAGCCATCCAATGATCCTTCCTGGAAGACACAAGTGAGATAGACGCCTTTGTCACTGAACGGTAACACTGGTGACTTCAATGAACACAACCAATATCATTAAGGACATTTCTACTTTACGACAGTGAGCATTCTGACTTGACATTTAATTTAACATTTCAAATTTAATGAGCGCTACTTAAGGGCCCATCTTATAATTCAATCAACGTCCAATGCCCGGTGGAGGGGAATGACAATGAACAAATATCACCCTGGAATCCAGGAGATTTTGCTGCTGAGAATCTGCCTCCCGATTCCTGTCCCCCAGGTCAATGTCACAGGAAGCTCCTGGAACGGGAGGGGTCCAGCCAGAGTCCTGCCAAAGACTAGACTAGATCTCTCCGGGGCAATTCCTGGAGTGCAGACACCATGCTGAGGTAATCATGAGGCACGGTGTTTAATAATGCTGACTGCTGGACAAGATGTTCCGCACTGAGAGAATCTAAGAAAAAAATAGAATAAACACCTGTGCTTCTACAGCCTCAGGCCATCTGCCTTCAAGGACCTCTGTAGAACTTTGGGGGTGGGTGCTTTTCATGTTAAGCCCTGGGAGTGATGTAGAGCACATCTTTTGGTCCTCAGCCTATCACAGAAGTCACCGTCTGCTGCAAGGACACACAAGTGACCAGGAAGTCACTGTCAACCCTCAGCAGGAGGCACAAACAAGTATGTTTTAGTCAAGTGGCACTTCTTGAGGCAGGATTAGACCATGTAAAGAGATCAAACTGGGCTGTTTCCCACCAGCTGACTGAGGTCAGTCATCAATATAGACAAGGGAACTGGTCTCCAGTATGCTGCTGCTAACAGTGGGGGATTTCAGAAGCAGCTTCCTAGCCCTGCCTGGTCATAGCTCAGCCAAGACCCAGAAAATAAGAGCCCTCCTTATTCCCCAAAGCTGTATTCTAGAGCTTCGATGGAACATGGCATCTGAAACCCTACTCCTCCCACAGCACCTTGTGAGTGGTTCTCTGTCATCCCTGCCTGGATACAGTTTGCCAGGGAGCTTATCACCTCCCACGCTGCATGGACCTATCCGAGGTGTCTTGTAGGTACTCTCAGGCACTCACAAGTGAGGCCCAGTGTGTTTTCACTGGGGTCTCCAAGTACGGTTGCCAAATTATAGAAGCCCAGTGTAGTTTAAATTTCACATAAACAAATAAATACATTGACTGGATCTACTCAAACAAACATAATCTCTATGTTTTTTCTGTGCTTATATATTGGGCCTAGTGTTTCCTGCATGTCCCCAGGCAAGGTTGCCAGAGTAAATACACAGAAATGTGGCATGCCTTGTTAAGTTTCTAGGAAGCAACATATACATTTTAGCCATTTCTTAAATGTTGCATAGGACATACCCAGCCACTTCTGAAACATACTGAGTGGTTGCAGTTTACCTGTTAGAAGACATGCCAAATCCCTCAACTGTTTGAGGCAGGCTACCCTGGGTCTCTCAAAAGTCTCATTTTCTCTTTCCTTCTCAATGCAATGTGGAATTCTAATCTCCGCCTGTGCCTCTCAGGCCACCAGCTCTGTGGCTCAACCTCCGTAGTTCACTACAGACACGAGGCCTTCATTCTCCCAGGGTCCACACAAAATGAAACTATGCCAACAAAGGACGAGTACATGTTGTGTGCTAAATCACTGCAAGACTTTCCCCAAGGCCCTGGTACATGGAGACAGAAAGTAGTTCCTTCTCTACACCAGGAACATGCTTGGTAGAGCCAGAAATGGCCGGGCAACAGGGCCTTGGGGGAGCTGTTGCTTTGGATTTTGAGGACCTCTTTCTACCCTGGGGGCTATTGGTTATCAGCCCCCCAGTTGCTGCATGCTCCCCTCTGACATCCTCAAGGTACCCTGTGCTCCCCTTGGGCAGCGCCGATTAGCTTCCTGCTGACTTTGTCCCATTTTTCTCCCCCAAATAGTATATAAGATGCTGTAGTTCTTAATAAGCCTGCTTGGCATAGACACGGCCTGTGACCCCAGCTTTCTATCTTTATCTTTCTCATCTCCTGGTCCTCCCACTTAGGACCTTGCCACCAAAGAATGACCCGCTGGATCAGGTCAAGCAGCCACTCCCCACTGTAGACCCTAATAAGCCAGGTTGGCCAACCCCTGGTCATCCCTTCCACATTTCTCTATGTCCTTCTAGTGCGGTGGCGAGAAACGTGTCCCAAGGAGACAGGAAAGGAGGAGAGAGATGCCATCTCAGATGATTTCTTGCTTTGCCCTCCTACAGGCAGGCAACAGTTAGGTTATGCTAGATCCTCCAGTCCCAAGCTCATTCAACTTGTCCTCAAGACAATGTCACTTGGAGGAGGTGCTCCCCACCGGTTGAATGGGAGTGGCCTATGGAGAAATCCTGCAGCAGGGAGGCTGGTGGGATAGCAGAGGAGTAAAGAGGCCAGAGGGAGCCTCAGGGAGCTGGGTGCAGTTCAGAACAAAGAGGCCCTTGTGCTGAATGGCCCACTCTCTCCTGAGCTATGCACTGTGAGCAGGGAACGCAGATAGGGATCTGATTTGGTGCCCAGTGGGCCCACCCACCTCTAGGGTAAGCTGGAAAGGATAAAGAGTTCTCTGAAATGCAAGCCTCACCTACACTGTAGGAAGCCAGATGCTGCAAGGAAGAACTCCAGAGTCAGAGGTTGCAAAGTCCAGCCATGCTTGCCCCATGGCTTCCTTATACAGAGACTCCCAGACGCTCTCCCCTGGGCTGGTACCTGAGCATGTCTGTCCTCCTCTCCCCCTAGCTGGGTGGCTGCAGACTTGTCGTGAGCAGCTGCCTGGGCTCCAAATTTCTCATTTCTATGGATAAATCTACCATCTGCACATGTGCCAATGTGTTGAGGTTCCCACAGGAGGGTCTGTTGCGGTATCTCAACAGGCCCGCGGCTTATAGTAGCATCCAATGTGCTCTTCATTTTCCAAAAAGCTTAATTTCCAATGTGATGTGTCTAAAATATCCTCAGAGCTGATATCTAGACAGTCTTTTTCTTCCCAGCCCAGCTACTATGCAGGCTTGGGAAAGGGAGAGAGGTAACTGCAAGGCTCCTCCCTCCCTCCCCACCAGTGTCTCAAGACTAGCCCAGGCTAGACTGCTGCTGACCTATGACCCCATGTCCTGGTATGGGCTCCTTACCACTGATGTTCAAGGTGTTCCTCACACCATGAGTAGAGGAAGGGCCAGCTTCCCTCATCATTGCCCGACTGATGTCCCCCAACACTGGTCTTTCTCATCTGGCAGCCCTGGGCTCCTGCTAAGCACTGCCAGCTGCCCCTCCATGTATGTGAGCCCATGCCAACTGATTAACACACCAAGGACGAGAATAGTACCTCATCCACAGAGACCCCATCTTTTCCATCTTTCTAAAGCAGGATGCCACCGTAAAGACTCAGGATTCCAGTCTCTACCGAGGGACACAACCAATTTAATAACCAGTAACCGACACCAGGAAACACCAACAGCTCTTAGAACTTCAGAGTTACTTGAAATCAAGCTGTATTTTCCAAGCCACAGTGTGTGCATCTTCTTGAATCACCACTGAAAGTAAAACATGCTGCTGTGTTGAAGAGATGCTCAGCGGTCAAGAGCTTTTGCTGTTCTTCCAGAGGACCTGAGTTTGGTTCCCAACACCCACATCTGGCAGCTCACAACTGCCTGCAACCCCAGCTCCAGGAGATCCTACCAGTGCCCTTTCTGGTGTCTGTGAACACCTGCACTCACATGCACATACCCACAGGGACCCAGACATATACATACAAAAATAAAATGAACCTTTTTAAAAAAATGTTGATGGAAGAGTTAAGAAATCATGCTGGAGTCCAAAAACTTTACATTTTAAAGAAAACACTCTACTAAAAGGCAAGTGTACCGGGTAGACTCAGTGTCAACATATATCACCAATACGTAGAAAAGGGAGTTACAGGACTGGTGTCTGACCCTATTTATTAATAAAAAGAATATACACAATGCTGTACTACTTGAGAAGGTGACTATGTGCAAATGCACACCCACAACACACAGACCAATGCCCCAAGAAGACGGAGAAACAGTCACTTTGACTCCAGACATTTATGTTTTAAGCTTTTCTTCCCTTCAGCACTCAGCCTTCTCACAATAAAAATGAATAAAATGTCAAAGAATTCCACTTACACACATGTACCCTGATGCTTTTAGCTGCTGTTTAATTTTTCTCCTTCACCACTGTTAGCCACAGTTTCTTTACCATGCACAGTTTGGGGAAAGGAGGAAGAAAGGACTTTTCTAGCCAGGAAAAACTGATGACCTGGCCAGTGTGCCAACATGCATTGGAACATTGAGCAAATACATATTTCTCTTCCTTGGTGAATTCTTATTTGCTTTAAAAATGAGTAATGAAGCATAAATTGCAGAGAATAATGTAGCAGACACCCTTCCCGAACACTGCACTGTGGTTTTGTTGAATTTGGGCTTTCTTTAAAGGAAGCAGGGTTATAGGCATGGCTGGGGCGCTTCCCTCCACTAGTCTGAACTGCTGTACTTTAAACAACTGGAAGATGAAGCTGTTAGCTTTTTCCCTGTGACAGGATAGACTGGGGTGGGGGAGGGCAGTTAACTCAGGCTCAGCAGATAGGCACACTAGAGCTGGTGAAACCAGGGACACACACACACACACACCACACTCACACACATGGTATTTAAGCATTTACCTTCCCTACTCATGGTCTATAATTAGAAAAATAGTGGTTAACACAGGCACAGGGGCAAAAGCTATTAAGTAAAGGGAACATGGTTAAAGCATAAACCAAACCTAGGCTTCCAAGTTGCATACAATGTGAGCCAACCAATGAAACTGTAGCCTGGTCCTCTCTCAATACACCCAGTCGGCTTGATTCCTACATTATTCCTCTTTGTAACATAGGGCCCAGAGAAGGAAGGAGGCTAGGATGTTCCCAGGGGGAAAAAGCCACACTGATGTTAAATGTTCTGATTTAAGACTTCAACAAGGGGATGGGGAGATGGCTCAGGTGTTAAGAGTACTTGCTACTCCTTAAGAAGACGAGGACTAGAACTTAGTTCCCAGCATCTTGGGCAGCTTGCAACCACCCCTAACTCCAACTCCAGGGATCCAGCAGTATCTTCTGGCTTCTGTGGGCATCCTCACCTGCACATACATGCACACAGACACAGGCATACACACAAACAATAAATCTTTACAAAACAATAAACTTCAGGGATTGTGGGGAGCTGGAATGTGGCAGATCTCCAGGCAAATTATCTTGGGCTCTCTTCAGCATGCTAAATATTCACGTATCTTTCAGCTCTGTGTGTGACCTAACATCCCTGTGGCTATGTGATAAGTTCATTTAGAGTGTATGAACAGACCCCTAGCTTCCACCAACTGGAAGGCTAGGAAGGCCACCAGGCAATATCTGAGGCCTATAGCAGAGACTGTCCTACTCTGCTGCAGCCGACATACCCCATGTTAATGTATTTGAAAACTGAGTGGTTTTCTTCGTTGTGTTACTATAAAAATTGATGAAATTGTTACTAGTTAGAATGTAGTATTTGAATCCATGTTCCCAGGCCATAGTCATTCTTATTCATGGCCGGAACAACAATTTCTTATTTCCTTCAAAGTGACAGTGTGCTTTATCATTTTTTAATTTTTTTGGCATATACATGTGTATGAAATTTAATGGACAAAGTAATTTAAAAACTTAATCACTTCTCGAATTCATCATAAGAGCGTATGTTCTTTCATCAGATAGAATAGGTGTTAGAGATACAACAGTTTCACTTGTCCTTATAGACTCTCGAGTCTAATAAAACCACAGGAGCCGGGTAAGTGGCACATGGTGATACTGGAAGGAGATGGTATGAGGCCACGACCTGGGCAAATGGGTCAGGGAAGAGCCCTTGCCGAAGGAGGTAGGAGAACAGGTTCCATGCCAGGGAATATGACTGTGAGTAACTGAAGGGAAAGGAAGGCCCTTGGGGTTCAGGGCATAATAGAGGTAGAGCAAATGTGGCTCAGAAAATACCAGCTCTAACAGGGTTGTTATGGAGGCCAGGCTTTTCCTCATATGCAAACCCATGCCACCATACAGACAAATGGGGTGCGGGGAGGTCTGATTTTAAATTTTTATATAAATTTCAAAGATGCAAAGAACAAATGTTCACTTGGTGATGGTCCATTTCCATTTATGGAGGAGGGAGCATCCTAATCCGTCCAAACCAACCTGGCTAAGTGCTTGCTTGTTCTACATCTCTATCCCTAAAAGTAAGAGTGGGGGGGGGGGTCTGGGAGGGAGCTGTCAAGTGCTCACTGCAGGAGGACCTGAGCCTGATCTCCAGAACCCACACAGAAAAGCTGAGCATGGTGGTACAGGTTTGCAATCCTGGTGCTGGGGAGACAGGGACTGCAGGGTTCCTGAGCACACTGGCTAGTCAAACTCACCTAGTCAGTGGTCTCCAGGTCAATGAAAGACCCTGTCTCAGAAAAACAAGGCGGGACTGGAGAGATGGCTCAGCAGTGACGAGCACTTGATGCACTTGCAGAGGACTCAAGTTTAGTTCCCAGTGAGCATGCACATCCAGGGGCTCACAGTTGCTTACGGCTCAAGTTCCAGGGGATTACGATGCCCTCTTCTGCTGCCTCAGGCACTGAATACCCCTGGCACACATATACATAAATAAAATAAAAACACGGTGCATGGTGCCTGAGGAATGACATTCAAGGCTCACCTCTGACCTCAATATGTATGTGCACACATGCATGCCCCCGCCCCAACACCAATGCATGATCTAGTAAGACCCACAGTATACAGTATGCAGGAATTTGATGAGTCCTAGAGAAAGTTGTGTCTAGCTAGCCATCATGATTCCCTTGGTGATTACAGTAGCATCTATCTAACAAGTCTGGCTTTATGTTGAGGCCAGTGGTTGTCAGCCTTGGCTGTATGTTAGAATCACTACAGAGATCTTAAGAAACAGTGATGCCCCTGAGAATTGACAAGTCTATGGAGGTGACGCCAAAGCAAGTTTCCAACCTCTTTACAGCAGTCTCATAAGCAGCTAAGAAAGGGAACTGCTGGTCTAACCACTCTCCACCCCCTCAGCCTCTTTAAACTTCAGTGTCCTGTGCCCAGGGATCTGGTTAAAATGCAGATTCTTGGCACATTCCAGAGCAATTGGCACTCTCCTTTCATTTAAAGAGGGCTTGCTGCAAAGTCTTAGGGAGTCACGGCAGTCCAATGATACTCTAAACTACATGAGACAGCTGAAAAAGTTTAATCTCCCATCAGTGACTCCATTGCACTTTTCCGGCTCTCCCATCTATGGGGCACTAGACTCTGCAGAGTTAAGATTTGCTGTCCACAGGGAAAGAAACCCTATGACAATGTGCCCTATTTTCTAAACAAAAACGCACCCCCAACCCTCCCAGTCACACTTCTCTGAGCATGCTCTATTCTCTGCACTGTGTCCATAAATAAAAATCTTCTCCATGGGGGTTGCCACCACGCCAGGGTGTTAAGGTCCAGGCTCACAACATCTATCTGCAAGGGGACTGGAGGCTGGCACGCAGTGCTTGCTTCAGGGATCCATTAAAGGCCACTGCTTTCCGGTAACCAGGTGATAAATAGCCTTTAAAAAGCCTGACATTTTCTGTAATTAACTCCCCGTTGTTCAAGGAGCCAATACAACCCCACTATGCCACTTCCAGCTAATGGTGGGGGCAGAGCTGAGAGTGCCCACACCTCTCTGGTCACAGTGTGCTCCTGTACACAGAGCCCCAGCCCCCAGGAGCTGGCATAGCCATCTTCAGCGCCTTCCTCCTTCCAATCATTAAGTGGTACTTACACGTGTCAAGATGCCAACATCTGATTCCAAGTCAGAGGGTGGGCTCTGAAAACCCACAGACAAAACTGGACACTAGATGGAGAAAGCAAGGGCTGGGGGAAAAATACAGCAGAACCCACAAGAAGTCTAAATCGCTTTTCTCTGCCAAACAAAAGAGAGGCAGTGCGGATATGAATGTCTGTAATTACTAACGACAGCCACAGTTCAGGTACTGTCTTTTGATGCAACCCTTCCCTCTCCAGCATTCAAAAAAAGGGATGCCCACAGATTAATTGTTCTCAGCTGTCCATGCTCTCCCCCAGTTGAAGCGGCAAGCCTTTCCTGCTCTGTGATCAAGTCTAATCCCATCCATCACTCTGCTTTTTAATATGCTCACACTGGCTTAGGGAAGGCTCCGAAGAAAGTCCCACGGCACGCAAGTCCAATCAACTCTGTTTAAACAGGCTTTAGCCATTCGCTCACTCAGTAATAGTCACCAAGGGCTGATCTGAGCCCCAGAGAACCCAGCGATGCACGGTCCCTGCTCCAGTCCTGAATGCTAATAGGGAAACTGATGTGCTAGGTGAAAGATCTGTGCTTAGCAACAGAGGAAGGTAAAAGCATGAAGACCGGGGCCTCCAGGATAGAAAGGTGTCAAAAGTGGTGGCCATTTAGCAGCGTGGATTTGACAGAACACATGCCTGCCACCACACTCAACACTGGAAATGACCACTAGCATGGTGATGCCTTCCCAGTATCACCAACTGCTAAGTGACTATGGGCCACTGTTGCTGGGCCACACCCAGGGATCTGGGAGCATCGAGGTGCCTGAGAGCAAATATGCAGAGTGGGGCAAAGAGACAGACATGTAAATTCAGAGAGCAAGCACTCCCTGGGGAGACTAAAACCAGCAGCATCATTCTCCCTGGAGGACTGCTTCAGGCAGACCCACAACACAGAACACAGGGCCAGATCCTGGGCTCCCTGCTAGTCCTACAAGGTGGGAGCTGAGAAGAGCTTCTTGTTTCCAGAATGCCAACAGCTGGCTGATTTTTTTTCTTTCTTTCCGCCATGGTTCACTAATTCTGAACATATATTCTCAAAGACTGGGGGTGAGGGGATTTTGCAGTTAAATAAGATGTATATTTTTAAGAGGTTATGAATGACCCGGGATTTTGCTTTTGTTTTTCAACACTAGTTTAAAAGACATGAAGTTACTTTTCAGTAGACTGTTGACTGTCCACAAGTACCAGTGTCTCCCTCTAAACTTGAATATATTTCTACCACCCAATCTATGAACTCCTTTTCACAAGCTGGCAGGACTCTGAGGACATCCGGCGCATGCTGTCAGCACTTGTCACTTAGTAGGGGCTGGCTCACCATATGCTGTATGTAGGTCCTGCTCAATGTAGCTTCTTTGCTTAAGTGTTTGTGTGAGTCTGATTTTTTTTTTACGTCAATCTTAAAAATGTTCAAATTGGACTAGTGAGATGATTCGGGGTAAATGTGATTGCTGCCAGGCCTGAGGACCTGAGCTCAATCCTTGGGATCCACAGGGTGAGAAGAAAGAACTGATTCCCAAAAGTTGTCCTGTGACCTCCACATGCTATATCTTGCCATGCACATGCTTGTAAACACACACACACACACACACTATATACACACTACACTATATATATAGTGTAATGTGCACATATATATATATAGTTTAGTATATATGTGTGTGTGCATGCAAAATAAATAAATAAATGTAAAAACACACAAATTATAAACACTGAGAAGAACACTTCACCGCCCTCCTGACAAGGACCCCAAAAGTTTTCATACCAAGACTGTATTCAGATTTCAGTTCCTTGTTTGACAAGGATTTCAACAAAATATCTGGGAGAAAATGGCTGAAACCATGTATTTGAAAATATAATCTGATGTAATAAAGACTATTTTTGTAATTAAAATCAAAACTGGTGAAAGGAGAACGGAGCAAATCAGGAAGAGCTGAAGAAGCCCCAGTCTAGATTCTAGAATCCCGAAAGCTACCAGGAGGCCAGTGCAAGAAGGGTTAGAGGAGGGCCTGGGGAGCAGAGCTGCTGATGGTGCTCTGGGGCTGAGGCAGAAGCCCCAGTCCTCACACATGCCTCAGGCCTCACAGATACAGCATTCAACCTCCTTAACACTTCCAGACACACACGATTGGGTTATAACAAGGAACTGTAGCTCCTGGAAGGGCACTGGAGAGAAGAGAACCAGTCCCTAAGGCTGGTACGATGGGGCTACCAGCATCTGCCTGTCATACTTTTTGATTCTGAATTGCAGGGTATACGAATTTGTCATATAGAGTTGTATTGCAGATCATTGAGCTTCCAAATTCATAGCATATGTTTCTCTGGATCAGAGCTCAGAATTTTTCTTTGTCTTCTCTGCTGCAGTCCTTCCAACCGTGCCTCAGGAGGAGGTGTTGTCCTTGTTTAGCAGGATGAAAACACATCCTAACTCTGTCCAGTGAGAAATCCAACAATGGTCAAGACAGAAGCTGTGAGTAATGGGGCATAGTGAACACCGCACAGGACATTCTGTATTCACACCAGACACCAGTTCAGTGATAGCTGCTGAGTGTGTGCCCCCTATTATTGTAAGGAGATGTTTCTAAAGAAGTATGCATGTACATATTCATCATCAGGGGCTTAAGTTCCCTAAAATCTCTATACAAGCGACAGGAAGCATCACAGACATTGAATAGCAATGATTTTAAATACCTGCCGGGTTCACATTTTCCATCACGAACCATCTGAGGCCTGGGGTTGGAGGTGTCACGTTCCCATGCTGTACTGGCCCTGCTTGAGGTTTGTGGTTCCTCTTATCACTGTGTAGGATGATTTAAAATAACAGTGAGAATTCAAGGCCATCCTTGGCTGCAGAGTTTGAAGCCAGACTGCCATACATAAAACCCATTCTCAATACAAAAGGACCAAAACCAAAACCAAGTGAGTAACAAAACCACCACCAAAGTTAGATCAATTTTCTTAATATAAAGTAGTTTCTACTGGAAACAGTCACTTGGACTATTCAACTGCATCTTGTATAACCGGTCCCTCAAAGAAAGCATGTAGGATGTGAATTTTTTAATAAACAAGAATATATTTCAAGTGTGCCAAGAGAGCCAGTTATTCAAAAGCCACCCTTGTTATCTAGTATGAAAATTAAAATTATTAATGAAACATCTTTACAAAAAATCCAATCCCATTGTTTCATTCGTTTGACATTGGGTAAATAATTTTTATACAGCACCATCCATTATTCCAATGACAGATACACTCTGGGTTCTGGTTCCTTCAAGCTTTAGTGTCTGACAGATCCTAGGCAAAAGTCATTTGATAAATGAATAAGGGGATAAGTAAAAGCCAACCTCCTGGGATTATAGAGGCCACAGATTTAGTAGGGTTGTTGGCAGAACAAACAATGGTCTTTATTCTAAAACGAAAAACCTCAGTGCTAAAGTTAAAGGGAATCTCATGTCACATATCTTGAACATGTGTGAAGAGAAAACAGACTGGACCTGAGGTATCTAGGGTCTTGCACAGTCCTCTCTCCCTGATGGCCCTCTCAGAATTCTTTACCGTATAATCTCCTGAAGCTTCAAAAGTGACCCGAATATTACTGAAAATGGCCCATAATATTTACAAATTCTCCCGATGCTCTTTGTTCTGCTTTACAAAAAACCCCTGTTTTCGATTCCAGGAAGTAGACACTTTCTCGGGTATTTCCTTAAGATTCTGTTCTTCGGGGTCAAGAGCAAACACGCAAAGATGTTTCTTTCCATGTTGATATCCCAATTCTGCTTCAAGATGAACTATGTCCTAATTATCCTGGGGACAGAAGGTAGAAAGCCATTTCTCTTTGTGTCTTTTCTTTTTAACCCACTCACCTAAAAAAGATGAAGTCCTGACTGGTGATCAGCAAGCCAGAACGAAGCTGAGCAGCCTCGTTTTAAGACTGTCTCAAGACATTCTCCAACCTGGCAATCTGAACGGACCAACGCAGTGACCCAAGTCCTTGTGGCCCAGAGCCTCTGTCTGGTCCGGACAAATTTTTAGACAATCAGGCTGCTCAGCTAACCAGAACCTGGCTGCGCTACTTTGTATTCACTGCCCAACCCTTTCCTGCCTGGAGTAGACGTGGAGAGAGAAAAAAGCACCAGCGTTGGGAAACCTGTTTCATCTTTTCAGCCAGAAAGTGCAGGAATTGATGTCTAGACCTCAACTTCTGACAGGCCTCTGGGTGGAGAGTCTGAGGTGGAGCAGGCAGGACCGGCTGGCAGGGCTCCTGCGGTTCCAGTCGGTCCTTCCCCAGGAGCCGCGCTCAACCGTGCGCTCACTTGGAAAAGCTGCACAGGTTCCTCCCTCCCCGCACGCACCCGGGACCCAAGAGGGAAAATGTTGTCCTCTTCCCAGCCCAGGGTGACAGAGGTAGATGATAGATGGTACAAGTATTACTGATTCCATTCATCACTGCATCTCTCACAAGGACGTCTCCTCGTAGCATAATTAAGTGATGAAAGCTCTTCCCGGAAAGCTCTCCATCCATTGATGTCTTTAAGTCTCCCCAGCACACACCGAGATAGCTCGCCAAGGAGAACCGAGTCCATCACCCTCCTGTCCACCCGGGATGGGGGGTTGGGAGACTGCACCTCAGACAGACCCGCCGTCCCAGGGTTCCCAGCTCACCCTCCGTGCAGCCGGCACTCGCGCGCTCCTCCCCAGCTGCCGGCGCTCTCTGCTCCGGCCTCACGGGGCCTGTGGGCGTCCCCGGTGTCCCGGAGGCCAGCCCCGCCCCAAGCCCTCGTGCCGCTATCCGCGGCCCGCGGAGTGCAGGGATGTAGCCGCGCCGGAAGGAGGAAGGCGAGTGCGCGCTGGCTCCGGGGCGCGAGGCCGCCGCCCACCGTGGCCCCGGAGTGCGGGCCTGGCCCTGCGCGTCGCCGCCGGCGCGCGTCGCCGCCGCCGCCACCGTGCTTGCGCGCGCGTCCGCGTCGCAGGAAGCTTGGAGGAGGCTTGGAGCGGCCATCATCCCAGGCCCCCTGGTCCCCATTGGCCCCTACCTCCCCTCCCGTGGAGAAATTGGAGAGATGCACCAAAAGCACCGCGCCAGAAAACACCTCTGAGACGACAAATGAAATCCAAAAGTTATAAAAAGGCAATTAAACAAACAAACAAACAAAAAACTCCACATACATAGATCAATAACCATTCTTTAATTTTTTTTTAAACTTGGGAAACGGTCAGAACACAAATCTGTATTCTTACTTACATAGTTTTTTTTTTTATTCTGCTTTGTTTTTCTAAAAACCATACTTCACACTAGCATAGACTGACCTGGAGGAAATCCTTCTGCCCTTGCCTCACAGAGTGTAGGGCAGGATAAGTAACAGACACCATACCTTCCTCCATCCTCAATTTCTTTATAATATTTTTAATTATGTGGATGGTGTATGTGTGTGTGTGTGTGTGTGGTATGTGTGTGTGTGTGAGTGTGTACTTGAGGACTGGTGCCAACTGAGTCCGGAAGAGTGCAGGATCCCTTCCAGCTGGCATTAAGAGGGAATTGTGAGTTACTCCATGCGGTGCTAGGAACTGAACTCAGGTCCTCTGCAAAGGTGGCACTAGCTCTTAAACACTGTACCGTCTCTCTGGCCCCAGCCATAGTTTCTCAACTGGCCTAATGGGAATTTTACTGGGTCTTACTAAAGCCTGCTTAAGAAGTAGGGCTGGTTAGCTGGGCATGATGGCACACACCTTTAATCCAGAGAGGCAGGCAGGCAGGCAGGCAAATCCTTTCGTTCAAAGCCAATCTGGTGTATAGAACAAGTTCCAGGACAGCCAGGGTGACACAGAAAACCCTGCCCCCCCCCAAAAAAAGAGAGGTAATTTGGTCTAGGCCTCATGCCAGCCGTGGCCTCAGGTTTCTGGCGTTATTATTTTACTCAGAGCCAATCATTTTGAAATAACCTTTACTGTTTGGCAGTTAGATAGTTCCACTTGTCCTTGTGATGGAGAGAAAGGTAGGGTAGTTTCTTTTCTTTCCTTGTCCCTGTCCCCAAGCTAGACAAGAGGCTTCTACAGAAAACCCTGTACGAAGTGGCAGGGCTGGTTTCTTGGTGAACTTATCTCAGGAGTCATATGCAGACTAGCGGAAGGCCTCCCCATGAACTCAACACAGACAGTGACTGTGAGAGTGGACCCCCATAATCGGTGACGTTAGCTCAAGAGCTGTAGAGTTAGCTCAGAGGCTGTCCTTCCCACAGGTATTGAACTGGGCTCTGTGTACTGGACTGGGCTTCCCTGTGACGGAAAATTCATTCTCTGCAGATACAACTCAGAAGCTGAGAATTTTTAAAAACCCGATTTATTAAGATTATGACTGACCGCTGACTGGCATTTGTTCTGACATTGGCTGCCTACCAGCCCTTTGTCTCCTCACACTCTGGTTCTTATGCCTCCTCCTAGATCCCTCCCTCATCTCACCCCCCACCTCTGTTCCCTCATACCTCCCTTGACACTTCTTTCCCCAGATGGCCTCCCACCAGCCATTGTTTTCTTGAGCCTGCTCTCTCTCCCCCCCACCTTATCCCCCAGTCAGACTCCCCCACATCCATTCTCTTCAGACAGAAGCCTCTCAGCCGGACCCAATCAGGCTTAATCGCTGGGTCTAAAAGGGAGTTCAACCAAGGCCAAGTTGGCAAATCACTTTTGAGTTCCCTCCCTTACAGGGAGCTGCTTCTCTGCTTCAGTAAAGATTTGCCAGCTTTTCGTCCCTTGCTAGTCATTCTTTACAATGTTAAGACAACGAGTCTGGGATCCCCTGGCTCAGAGTGACGTGTTTCTGGGACCTTAATTCCTTGAGTTAAGCCTACCTGGAACCATGAAATCGCTTCTGTGTCATTCAAAGGCCCCAGTGAGACCTGTGCTCGTGTTTGACTCAAGTCAGACATTCTCAGGATCGCCTGTGACACTGCTGGTTGCAGTCTGGAGTGGCAGGATGGGCTCAGCTCCACGATCTGCTCTGCTGTACAGTTGCTGCTGCAGCTGCGTTTCCGTACTACCCTGTCGTGAGCTGATAGTTCCCATAGTTTATCTGACACATCCTTCTAAAGACAAGAGTGGGACACCCAGCATAATAAAGAAACAGGCCGAGAATAATAAACAGGTGCTCGAAAGTCTTTGAATCCACTTCTCAGGTCGAGGCTGGTGAAACCATTTGTTTCTCCATTTCCTAGTCCTCCATTCCCAATACACTCTTTGCCAGGGTCATCTCTAAAGTGTTTTCACAGGATCTAAATGATTACTTTTTTTGTAAAACGTGAGAGTATTGTTTGTCATGCTCACTGTCAAACAATCAATCTGATGACACAGGAGTGATAGGAGATAAAACTGATAACACAACCTATATCCTAGCAGTGGGGCAGGTGGGGTGGGGGGGTAGAGCACTCACCCCTTCACCCATATTCTTGCAGTAGAAACCAAAGCGAGAATGTCCCTTTGGAAGCAGCAGTATCTCTTGTGATCTGTGGTGTTTTAGTGTCGTTGTTTTTTGCTGTGACAAAAATATCCTCATATAAAGCAACTTAAGGGAAGCCTCCTGCTAGCACCAACAAATGAACTCCAAAAATGGTGACCCAGCTGCTGCCCACATCTGCAAAGGAGCTGGAGCGCTTCCCGATCCCTGTGGACAACAGGCTACAGCAGGAGCCAATCAGACAATCTTTTTGAACGAACGGGGACCATCCATGAAGAAGCTGACATAATAAATGAAGATCTGAGGAATAATCTGTCCCTAGAGCCCTGCAGTGGCTACCCTTACCATATATCCACAGGCAAGTGCCTCACACCTCCAACAACTCCAGTGAGGACACCCAGGGCAACATCTGCCTGTCATCCTCAGAAATAGGCTGTCTGGCCTGCAACAAACCTACTCAAAACACACCTCCAGTTAAAAACTCTGGTCCAAGCTCTCCAGCTTCTCGTATGTGTCATTGTTTTATTTTTTGCTTAGATGTTCAATGATGGGGGAAGTCCTTCTGTATATATGTTTCTCTTATTGGTTATGAATATAACATTGATTGGCTGATTGGCCAGGCAGGAAGTGATGTAGCTGGGCAGAATCAGAATATAAGCAGGGACAAACAGGAATTGGTGTTCTTCTCTTCTCTTCTCTTCTCTTCTCTTCTCTTCTCTTCTCTTCTCTTCTCTTCTCTGCAGAGACTCTGAACAGACGCGATGTAGATCCCAACAGAGTAAGAGGCCTGGAGCTTTTCTCCAGTAAGATAAGACCACATGGAAATGCGTGGATTATTAGAAAATGGGTGACTAATTAAGACTGAGCTAGCCAATAAGAAACCTTAAGTAAAGACCAACAGTTCCATAATTAATATGGTGTCTGTGTATTTATTTGGGATTGAGGCTAGAAAGCTCACGTTACAGTTTAGTCATTCCCTTGATTTATATATTTGACTCTGTATCATGAACTGTGTTTTTTAAATTATCAAAATGCATTTATTTACCATATACTGTTAAGGGCTTAATTAACAGGAGTGAGTATTGAGTGTTGATCTTGGAGCACTATACATAACTGCCATCCAAGAGTGAACATTGAATTCTAGGAAATGTCTTTTCTTTATTTACTGAGGTGATCCTATTATTCTTTCTTTTGTATTTCTGCATGAATTAGGCTTTCTTTTTAACATTAGAAACATTAAATCTGGCTGGACACGGTGATGCACACCTTTAATCCCAGTACTCAGGAGGCAGAAGCAGGCAGATCTATGAGTTCAAGGCCAGCCTGGTCTACAAAGTGAGTTCCAGGATGTCCAGGGATATGTTACACATAGAAAGCCTGTCTCACTGAGATCAACAATTAATAAATGGGACCTCCTGAAACTGAGAAACTTCTGTAAGGCAAAGGACACAGTCAAAAAGACAAAAAGGCAGCCCACAGAATGGGAAAATATATTCATTAAACCCACATCTGACAGAGGGATGATCTCCAAAATTTACAAAGAACTCAAGAAGCAAGTCTCTAAAACACCAAAGGATACAATTAAAAAGTGGGGTGCAGATCTAAATAGAGAATTCTCAATAAAGAAGAGACACTTAAGAAAGTGCTCAACATCCTCAGCCATTAGGGAAATGCAAATCAAAACAACTCTGAGATACCATCTCACTCTTGTAAGAATGGCTAAAATCAAAAGCACCAACAACAGTTTATGCTGAAGAGGATGTGGAGAAAGGGGAACACTCCTCTACTGCTGGTGGGAGTGCCAACTCCTACTTTGGAAATCAGTATGGAGATCCTTTAGGAAAATGAGAATCAGTCTACCACAAGCTCCAGCAATTACACTC